TTCAATTCATTCGGAGGTGGACGGCCATTTTGAAAATAAAACTGCTATCATCATATGCATTTGATCAAAAGGGAGAAATCGTCACAATCTGCCTGTGCTCAAAAAGAAAAAAAGAAAGAAAAAGCATCACTCTGAATTAGTTTTGCAACACTTCCATACCTGTGGTATTTGCTCTTTAACAGGCTCGTTCACTAATTTCAGAGGAGAACCTAATATAGAGGGGCCTGCCCTATGTCTTGTTGTTCGCGGTGAACCAGATGAGCTTCTCGGTGAAAGTGGAGGGGTACTTCCAGCTGGAAACATAGACGGCAAAGAACTGCTTGAAGCAACATTTGTGCTAGAAGAAGTTCCAGTCAGATTCAAGGGACCACCAGCCTTAGCATTATCAAGCAAAGATTTCACCTGCATGTATAGTGAAAATAGATTACTTTCCATTTGCCAATCAACTGAGATCAACAACAATGTTTATCAGAAACAGAAAAAATGCACATATCATCGCTTATGTTTGCAATAATGCAGGGCAGAGAGCTCTTCCAAAACGAAACATCATATGCTCCCAGAACTAAGAAAAATCAACATGTAAGCTCAATAAACTATCAGGTCCGATGTTCCGTTCTTAAAACCTCAGACTCGTGTAATGCTGGCTCAGAACAATATCCTAGCAGAGTAACTTTTCAAAAATACATTGGATTCCCAGCTGAACATCCTCAAGCATAATATCACTGTTATTCATCACCAGTGGTATAAAACTTTCACGAAGAGTTTCCATTAAACCAAAGCACCAGCACATCTCCATCATCCTAGGAAAGCTTCTTAGAGACAGGTTCCATGAACACATGGAATTAATTTTCAGCGAATGCAACAAGTTGTTGCAGTCCTATATGCATACTGTCAAGTTCCGAGCATCGTTTGACTCTTTTTTGAGAGTGAGCAATGTTAGACTCTTGTTGGTAAAGAGAAAGAGCAAGCTCAAACAAAAGCAACACAATTGATCCCAGAGAGCCCAGGCATGTACTTTTTGTCAATAAAGAAAAAGTAGATAAAGGAACTCAGAGAAAGAACTCAAATTTGCAACAGACTATTGAAATCTTTCTTCTTCACTTCACACATCTTCATGGCACCTTCTAATCATTCCTCACCCTAGGGAACTTGATAATACATTATACTCAACATGATACTTCGCTCAACACAAAATAATTGACATTCTCATGAAACAAAACGTACTATAGTTGTTAAAATCACTTCTGAGATGTGTATAAGAATAAGATAAATCATATAGCAGTGTATTATGATGCAATAAGACGTAAACTTCCCAATTTACACTTAATAATAAACTTTTATAGCAACACAAATTTTATCGCACGCACGCAAATGTTGCGAAATGTTTGATACCGCAAGTTTAGAAAATCTTATAGCCACACAAATGTTAAGCCATGTTTAAGACCACAAGTTTGAAAAGTCTTTCTTCCTTACTTAAACTCCATACCAATTCAAACTATGCCGCATCAATTGAAATGGAGAAAGTACCATTTTTGACTGATTACCAACTAATGTTTATCAAAATATTTACCCGTAATTACCTAATAAATGACCTGAATGCGTGAATATTTTTTAACACCGAACTTAAACTCATTGCAATTTCAACATCTAGTTCTTAATACAGAAAAATACAGAAAATATTATCAAAATTTGGGCACTGTGGAACTACCTTAGAAGTCGTGATGGGGAGCGAAAGCCATTGATCAAAAAGCCTCCGAGCATACGGATTATCTTTGATAGCCAAAGGTGAAAATTCAGGAAGCTGCAATAATTCGGCATCGAGACTCGCTATATCAACAACTAAATCAACATCCATTGTGACTTTCTAACTAAGCAATGAAATCAATCCAAATCCAAATCCTTAGATCTTCTAGAACTTTCTTTATCATTCAAACAAACCCTAAAAATGAACCAAAACGAGCTCTTAAATAGCAGCTCTCACATCACCACAGTTTTGGATGAATATGAAGTATTGATTCTGATTTTTTGGAGAAAGTGAAAAATGATTTTCTGAATTGAGAATTTGTTTTAGATCGTTGTGGATTTTCTGAATCTGAGAGGATATTGTATGAGGAGAAATGGTTTGTAGGAATTGATTTGGATTTGCAGATCGGAGAAAGAGAATTTACAGAAGGTCGAAACCCTTGAAGCCAAGTAGTGTGTGTGTGTGTGTGTGTAAGAGTGTAATATAATGTGATGTCTCAACACTAAACTAATCTGGGATTTTCTTTAATTTGTTACTTCCTCCAATTCCACTTTTCTTTAATTTGTTACAGTTTGATTCAAAAAACTTAAAAGTTTCAAATATACCAAAACATTTGTTGGCCTTAAGTATGACGGTAGTAAACTTTTTTTCAAATATAAAAGTGTGTTAACTTATATGCTATTCTTTTTTGAACAGAATAAAAAATATTATAATTTAGAATTTGATTTCTTATAAAGTTGTTGTCAGCTTGTATCGCACTTGTATGTATAGGTAAATTTATCTACTAACACATAGGTATATAAGAAAAAATTCAAATATATTGTAATTGTGTTTAAATATGTTGATATCCAATAGTTATTATCTTTTTTATTATTGACCACTCGTAACTTTATTTTTAAATCATTTGAAGTTAGATTTGCATTGAAAAGGCGTTAAAGGAATAAAACACTCCCAAGCAAAGATTTTTCATTCCCAAACGTTGAACACGAAACTGCTAGGTGATGAGGGAGAGACCATTATCGACCCGAATGTCATTTCCTTATATTTCTCTTACCGTTATAAATATAATTGTATTTAAGGTAAATATTTATATTTTAGAGATATTTTAGAGTTTGTTATTGTAATTCATTCCAAAAATTAATAAGAATTGTCTCTCTACTTTTCTCTGCAATATTATTCTTCTTCTTTTATTGTTTCATTACACGTTATCAGCACGAGACTCTAACCAATTGAGTAGAGGCTTTGGGATACGTGCGTGGTGCTCAACTTATACATAATATTGAGCATAATGATTGTCAATTGTTCCATGAACTTCCCTCACGAATAAATTTTGAGTTTAAGGTAAGTAATTTACCTTATTTTTTTCTTTTAAATTCTTGACATTCTATAATTTGATTTTAAATACAAGCAAAGACAATAAATTTTGATTATAACTCTAATGGAGTTTGTAAGAAATTATAACTACCCGAAGTAATAAAATTTCTATGTCTTGCCATGATCAAATTCATGTATGATTATGAGCACAAGAAGTGGAAACACATCCCATTAAATTTGCTTCATTCTAGTTCCCTTAAGAGAATGTGGTCGCAATATGTAATAAGTCTGAAAGAAGACAAAATTATTATCATGAATGTATCAATGGATGTGGACGTGGCAATAGACGAAATTATAATCGTCATCATTATGGTAATGATAATAATAAGGATTCTCAAAATAATCTTTCACTCTGTAAAAGTAATGCTTGTCATTGCTTTGACATGAGATTTTGTAAAGCACATATAGATGATTATGGTCTATTCATAGTGTGAATGTGACAACATGTTATTTATGAATACATATTCATTCTTGGAAGAATATGAACATGTTAGCGGTAGAAAATATACCACACTCGACTCTAGAAGGAGGTTTGAAATGAAATAAGAAAATAATTTTATTATTATAGCATGAATGGTCATTGATCATATACTTATTGTGATTATGCCAAAATTTAATGGCAGTGCGATTATTATAGGGCAAAAGTAATAGAAGTAACAGATCTTGCATATAATTGTGACCATGACCATAATGGTATCACTTTCTCTTTAAAGGAAATATTCACCATATGAATGTCGATGAATATGTGGTAGTACAAAATTAATTGAGACCTTTGAAAGAGCCAATTATTACTATTTTAGAGGAATAAAATTGATTTTACAATAAGACATTATGTTGTAGTAAGTCTCAAAGAAACTTATTGAGTTTCTAAAGTATTCACAAAAGCGGTCGGTTATATTGAGACTATAAATAATGAGAAGATTTAATATCTTTATATTACTACAACTGTAGCGGGGTAATATGTATATGAAAACTACCCCCTTTATTACATGATTTGTACTACGCAAATAAAAAAATATGATAAAATTACACAATACAGTGAAGTGGATATTTATTGATATAAAAACCTGTGTCATAATAAACTGGGAGTTTAATTAACAATTGCACATGTCATGATGTAAACCTGAAGTTTACCGATACAGATAATTTTTTCAAGCATGGCCCGTTGAGCAATCTTGATTTAAGTATGATGTGTAAAATAAATGAGAATTCACATGGGTAAATGTTGAAGAAGATTCTTCATGAATTCTTTTGTGCTGCTTGTTCTCGCGATTATTATACCAACTAATATTGAGATTGAATTCCTTGAATTATGGAATTTATCAAATGTGAATATGGGCTCATTCACCTGCCATGTAAACTGTCACGACCCCAATTTTTCTCCGTAGGATGTCATGGTGGCACATAGTATTTAAGACTAGGTAAGCCTATCAATTATGCGGAAGTCAAAACTGAAACTTAAATACCAACATATAAAATAAATCAAAACGTGATTCAAATAGTTCAACTCCCAAAACTCGGTAGAAATAAGTCACAAGCTTCTAAAAATTTATTCTAAGTATCTCTATACACCAGGGTCTAAAGAGAATAAGGAAAACAACATAATAAGGATAGAAGGGGACTCCGAGGTCTGCGGACGCTGACAGATGTACCTTGAAGTCTCCGCGTACGGCTAGTTCACCAATGCCTGGTCTGATAGGAAGTACCTAGATCTGCACAAAAAGATGTGCAGAAGCGTAGTATGAGTACACCACATCGGTACCCAGTAAGTGCCAAGTCTAGCCTCGGTAGAGCAGTGACGAGGTCAGGTCAAACCCTACTAGAAATAATAAAAGATATTGTGAAAGTTTAACAATATAATAATAATAAATGACAATAAAAATAATTCAAGTAAGTAGTACGCCACAATTCAACTACACAGAATAAAGGCGAATAATACCTCATGGAAGGAAAACAAAAATTTATAACTTTAAGAAAAATACCAAAAATAATCAAAGGCAATGCAGCCATAAAGAAATATCAACAAGGGCACTCCCGAGGTACCGCCTAATAGTCCCAAATCATAAATGAATTCACAATATCTCATTTTCTTATATCACCGCGGGAGCCTTCACATTTAATTTTAAAGAAATTATTTTTTTCGAAATAGCATTCCGCGTTTTAGCCACCCTTATCACACCACATGGCTTCTAGTAGTTCCCATACTAGCCACGCGTATCAAGCCACCATTTTCTCACCGCATGCGTTTCAACACTCAGACATTATACCACCGCATTCGTATCAATATCACAATATATCACAATTTGCACCTCAAGTGTCCAAATATTTCAACTTGCCAAAATAAATCAACAACAATATTATTTCCACAATAAGGAGCTCACGTCTCAATACAATGAATACAAAATCTCACAAAATATTCGAAAGTGAATAACTCAACAAAAATAATATTTCACAAATTTAACACATTGCCTCAATACCAAATTTTTTAATGTCAAATATTTCATATTAATAATAATTCAATTAAGAAATTTAATTTTCAAATATTGAGCACAGAATAAAAGAAATAAAGTTTCAACTAAACAGGTAAAGTAATTAGCACGAAAAATGTCAGGCAAATTTAAAATATAAAAATAGATAAATGGTGATGAATATAACTGGATACAACAACAACAACAACAACAACAACAATAACAACAACAACCCAGTATAATCCCACTAGTGGGGTCTGTGGAGGGTAGTGTATACGCAGACCTTACCCCTACCCTGGGGTAGAGAGGCTGTTTCCGATAGACCCTCGGCTCCCTCCCTCCAATAACTCCCCACCTTTCTCTTGGGGTGACTCGAACTCACAAAATTATTAACCGGATAAAATAATTTAATTAATGTGTAACAGAGATATACACAATTTAAAACCAGAGTTTTTCATATTTAGCCCGTGTACACACTCGTTACCTCGCGTTCACGACTTTCACCACATCACAATTATCATATCAATACCAATCCCAAGGAAAATTCCCCCCACACAAGGTTAGACAAGTCACTTACCTCGAACCGGGTAATTCTTTACTTCGTTATGCCTTTGCCTCGCGAATTGGATTCTGAAAGTCTCGTATCTAGTCACAATTATTTTTATTTAATCAATACAAATTATTGGAATTCATTCCATATGAAAATATAATTTTTTCAACAAAATCCGAAATTTAACTCAAAAATCGCTCGTGGGGTCCACGTATCAGAACCCGATAAAAGTTATAAAATATGAACGCCCATTCAACCACGAGTCCAACCATACCAAAATTACTAAATTCCGACATCAACTCGACCCTCAAATCTTCAATCTAAACTAATAGGGTTTTCAAAATTTTCTAATTCAAATCACCAATTAAATGTTAAAAACAACCATGGATTCGGGTAATTTGATCAATACTGAGTTAAGAATACTTATCCTATTATTTTTCTTGAAAATCTCCCGAAAATTACCTCTTCCCGAGCTCCAATTAGTCAAAAATCAGAACTTAAACTTTCTTTCCAAGTATTCCTTCTTCGCAAACGCCACAGGTCCCTCGCGTTCGCGAAACACAAAATTGTGCTACCCAAAAATTTCCCTTCGCGAACGCGAGACCCAAGTCGTGAACGCGATGCTTTACCAGGTGAACCTTCGCGAACGCGAAAGGCAAAAATCCTCACCAGCCATTTTCCCTTTCGCGGACGCGATGCCCAATTGCGAACGTGTAGCCTCACTTCATTGCCTTACGTGAACGCGAGCCCCATATCGCAAATGCAATGAACAACTTCACTTGCCTCCAGTTCCTCTTCGCGAACGCGAGACCCCTCTCGCGAATGCGAAGAAGGAAACCAGGTGCAGACATTAGAAAAATTCCAGCAACATTCCAAGTCCAAAAATTAATCCACTAACCCTCCGAAACTCACCCAAGGCCCCCGGTACCTCAACCAAATACACCAACAAGTCCTAAAACATAAAATGAACTTAGTCGAAACTTCAAATCACATCAAATAACACTAAAATCACGAATCATACTCCAATTCAAGATTAATGAAACTAAGAATTTTCCACTTCTACATTCGATATTGAAACCTATCAAATCAAGTCTGATTGATCTCAAATTTTG